TGAATCCAGTTTTTTGAAAATATTTATCAATTTTGCTATTCCAAGCTCTTGGAGCTTGTTTTAGCCCATATAATACATGTTTCAATTTATAAACTTTTTCTTCATTTCCTTTTTCAACAAAACCCGATAGTTGTTCAAAGTATTCTGCTTCTTCAAGTTCCCCTTTAAAAAAGGTAGATTTTACATTAAACTGAAAAGCTTGAATTTTTAATTGGGTGGCTATGGCCAAAATAGTTTGAATGGTTTCCATTCTGACAACAGGGGCAAATGTTTCATTGAAATCTATTCTAGGTTGTTGTGAATAACCTTTTTCCACAAGTCGAGCTTTGTATTTTTGAATGGAGCCATTTTCATTATAGTTTGTTTTGTAAATCCATTTCAATGTATAATTCCAATGTATTAGTTTTCTTTATAACAGAAAGTTCTTTGGTCATGGCACTTACCCAAATTTTCTCTTTAGATGCTTTTTCAAAAATTTTGTGGTTCTCTAGAAAAGAATGTAACATCTCATGATTCATAAGTTTCTGAAAGAGATCTTACTTTTTCGAGAGGCCTCTGATTCTGAAGAACTTGAACTTGGACTTGAAGGGCACTTTTCTCGTCAAAGATATCTCTGGAAATTACCAATTTATTTGTTTTTAGATTTGAAAGTTGATAAGCTTTTGAAACCTCACTATATCGAAGAAAGATGTATTTTTCGCATTTTGCATCAAATGTTTATCTGTTTTGAGAGGTACTTTTCCCCCATGCAATACATCCAAAAACTTTGAAAAAATAACTTTTGATTTTCTCTTATGCCAAGCCTCAAAATGTGTTTTAATTTGGAGGGATTTTGCAATAGGCCTGTTCATAATATTTACATCAGTATAAATGGCTTTAGCCCATGATTTATTTGAAGATTCTTACCTTTCAACGTACTTTGAGCCATTTCGACTATTGTTTTGGTTCTTCTCTTTGCTACTCCATTTTGTTGTGGAGTATATACTGTTATCAACTCTCTTTTAATTCTATTACACTATTATATTTGCAAAAATTCCAAAATTCTTTTGATGTGAATTGTCCTCGGTCTGTTTTCAAGGCTTTTAATTGAAAACCACTTTGCTTTTCCACATCATTCTGTTGTAATCGTAACAATTATAAGGAAATATCTTTTCTTGTTAAAAGATTCTGTTTGAGTCGGTCCACATATGTCTGCATTGACCAGTTTCAATAGAGTTCTTGCTCTCCAAGATGACACTGAAAATGACAGTATATGTAATTTTCCACAAATACATCGTTCACATATTTTTCTTTCTTCATTTATTGATGGTAGTCCAATATGTTTTTTTTATTCATCAATTTCAAACTTTTGAAATTTGAATGTCGAAATCTTAAATGCCACATATAAGATTTATCAAGATTTTTAGAACTTAGGGCATAATTTTCGCATGATGGTACAACCATAGGAAAAACTTTATTTAGGGTCATTTTCACTGTAGCTATTGTCTATTTATTTTTGTTATAAAAAAATCGCGTATCTATTGAAATTAATTGAGTATCCTCTTTTCATAAGTTGTCCAACACTTAATAGATTTTGAGTCAAGTGGAACGTAAAGAACATCATAAATGGATTTAGGATTTCCTCTTTTTATTTTTACTGCAATTACTCATTTTTCGTCAACATTTTGCATCTTGCCATCATCGAGCTTGACTTGAGAAGTAACTTTTTCATCGATCTCAACAAAACTGTTCCAATTTCTTGTCATGTGATTGCTACGACCACTATTCAGCTGCCAAATATGATGTGAATTCTGTTGAACGTTCATGCAAGAGTAAAACATCTGGCCTATACCATTATTTTTTTTTCAGAAAAATGTGCTTCTTTATTTTGTATTTCATTTTTTGTTGAAACAAATAATCTCTTTGAGAGTGATTGGGCTTTCTATATAAATTTGGCATGTATATCGGCAATCTCTGGATTCTTGCCCTGATTTTTTGCAAATAATATAGTAAGATTCAGATTTTACCTTTTTTATCTTGATTTTTGTGGTGGTGGTAATTATTTTTTCCTCTTCCTTGGCCTCCACAAGCAAAATTTCTTTCGTGACTCTTTGATAATTTTGAAATGTCCCCCTTTCTTTATTCTCTTCAATATTTTTATTTTTTGAAACTGTGACTTTTGACTGAAAATCTTGTTTCATATTCTGATTTGAAAATTTGCTCCTTCTTTGCTTATGTGCGTCAAGAGACGCACTTAATTCTTGTGATGAAAATATAGATTAATCTTTTGATTCTTTTATGTCCGCGAAAACATGGTCAAACTTTTCAGGCAAGTTTCTTAAAAATTTTTGAACAATTTTTCTATCACGTATGTTATCTCTGTAACATTTAATATGATTTATTATTCCAAGAATTCTAGAAAAGAAGTTTTGAACTGATCATTAAATTATCGAATTCTCTCCATAAATTTTGGAGTTTGATAAAAATCACTTTTTCAAGCTCCTGAAATTCATTTTTCAAAATATCCCAGAGCTTCTTTTGATTTTGAAGCAATTTCTATTCTAGGAAAGATATATTTACTTACAACCTGCTGGATGAAGAGAAAGGTTTTTGCATCTCTCTTTTTATTTTACTTGTATTGATTTCGCTTTGTTTGTGACCGCGATTCAAGTACTTCTGCATCTTTTGGCATTGGATAGCCTTCTTCGACAATATCCCATAGATATTGTTAGAGAAAGAGTGTCTTCATTTGGGGACTCCATGAGTTGTTATCTTCTTTATTTAAGATGGATATTAGATTTTGGGCATAACTCATACTCGAGGTTGATGCCTTAGGTAAATGGGTCTTTTATGAATCGCAAATCTGGCTTTTATACCAAATGTTGGAATTTGCAGAAGCGTTATATTAAAGTTTATTTGGAAGAAGGGTGAAGAGGCAACAATATTAACTAAAAAATGTTTTATTATTGCATTTGAAATAGTAAATAACTAGAATTACATTGGAGTAGTTTGGACCAAAGGGCCCCACATTCTTTTTTGAAGTTTTGGATACCTCTTTTACATCCTCACACTTTTGGATGTGTATATTCTTGAAGTTGGATGTATGCATATCCTTTTATAGCTTTTCTTATCTTCAATTGCACCGTCACACTACATGCATCCTTTTATACTTTTCTCTTACCGCCAATTGGACCGTCACACTACACGCATCCTTTTATAGTTTTTTCTTACCGCCAATTGCACCGTCACACTACACCGCATAAGATGTTCTACAAGGTTCATATCTATTTCTAGTTCTTTCCACTTTTTCTTCTTTACTAAGTAAAGTTTGGCACCGACTTTCTACTACATAACAAACATTTTTACATAGAGAGAGGAGAGTTGAGAGTTGCAGTGGGAATATTCGAGATGATGATGTGATGATGTATGATGATGACCTCCTTTATGATGTATGGATTTGTCATGAGTGATAAAATTGGTTTTAATAATTTTGTCGAAGCGTACTAAACTTTATTTAGAAAATAGCAAAGAATGACAGTAGGGCTGAAGATGAAGCACAATATTACGACTCCGTGAGTTGTAACCTTCTCCATTTAAGATGGGCCTCTTGAAGCACATGAGCAAAGAATGATAAAAAGGGTGAAGATGAAGTAGTATTAACCAAAAAAATATTTCACTATTACATTTGAAATAGTAGATATGACATGGATACAATAAAATAGTATGGTCTTAAGGACTATATTTTTTCTTTTAAGGTTTTGGATACCTTCTTTTACATCTCTCCACTTTGGATGGTAGATAATCTTGATGTTGGATGTATGCACCTTCTTTGATAGCTTTTTGTTGTCGCCATACTAGATGACTCTTGATTGTCTTCATTGGTCCATTATTTTACTTAATCAGAAAGCAAAAACTCGTTCCGCCTTTCGAACCATCTACATATTTCATCACTGCTTGACTTTTCTTGAGCCGTTTGAGGACAAATTACTTTCCAACATGGCTTCATCTTTACCATCCCTTAGGGTAATATCTACCTAAGATAACTTAGCTTTATCTCTCCTGCTGTTGGTTCTGAAAGTTTCTCATTGGCTTGTCATGAAATATTGAGATAGTCATTGGCCTAGGGCTCACTTGCATCCAAACCTTAATTGTTGACTGGGTATAACCCTTTTCTTGATTGTCCCATTTTGGGTTGTTCTTATGCCCCAATCTTCAATCTAGTTTTTTCAATTTGCCTAATCGTTTGTTGCCATAACCGCACAGCATTTGAGTGTCGTTCATGTCGCCCTTGGGATTCAAAGTCGCTTACTGCTGATTCTGTTTAATATTCTAGCATCATTGTGGTTCGAGTGCCCACATCCTGCTGGCATTGTATGGTATAGGGTACACAAACTAGCCATGCATCCGTCATGCGCATCAATTGACAGTGTGATGAGCTGCTTTTACGCTAAGGAGGGGAACGGTCCTCATATCCCCTATTGATGAGGACAGGTGGTGGGTGGTATGTCTGTGTACCCTAAATAGTATGTGGAAATTAATTTTTCCTTCAGTACATACATTTAAGAAGGATCCAGTTTATTGTATGGCTGTTATTTTTTCTTATGATGAATTAAAGATACTAACTATATAACTACAAATTGAAATCATTGCCAATGCTTACTTCTTAGGCAGTTGTCTGAAATCTGAAGAGCATCAATGTAAATTGTGAATTTTGAAAGATGATGATGGTATCTTTGTTCTAGTTTTTATTTATTTTTTTGTTTTCTTATTGTTTGATAAATTGGAATACTTGCCAAAATTGTTAAGGCATTTATTGAGATCCTTGGCTTCAGAGGAGGCACGAGGCTTTTTTGTTTTTGTGAATTCCATCAGTGTTTATGTGGTTAATTTCATTATGTGCTTTAAATTTACTTTAATTGGGCTTCTTGGGAGCAATTGTTTAATGTTCCAATTTCCTAGTTTTTGTCTTTTGATTTTTTGAATTTCTTAATTTTGCTAATTCTAATTAATGCATCTTAAAGTACAGAGACAAGGATCTGCAAAATGCAGCGGGGCAGAGCCAGAGATGATTTCTTTGGTTTTGGGGATCCTTTTGCGGATTTTGGTGGAAGCTTTGGCTTTGGAAACCCTAGAAGCCTGATGTCAAGTTTCTTTGGCAGAGATGCTTCGGATCCTTTCAATGACCCTTTCTTTACTCGTCCCTTTGGGAGCATGTTTGGACCCAGCTTCTTCAATAGTCCTTTTGGAAACCCTGAAAGTTCTGCATTCATTGAGCATCAGCAAGCCCCTCAGGTATCATATGCAGACATTCGTTTGTTCAGTAGTGCAAATTATGTATGCCGATAATTCTCCTAATACCTGCCTTTACAGGTTCAGTCTCAATCACGTCAAGGTCCCATAATTCAGGAGTTGTCATCAGATGAAGATGACAAGGCCATGGATGAGGAGGACAGGTCAAATAAGCAAGCAAGATTGAATAAAACACCTAATGTTCAACATCCGGATGAAGAAGGCCAAAGTAGAAATTCTACAAATTTCTCATCATATCATAAGCAAGCAGGATTGAATAAAACACCTTATGTTCAGCATCTGGATGATGAAGGCCAAGGTAGAAATTCTACAAATTTCGCATCACATCTCTCTCTCTCTCTGTCTCATGCATGCAGGGAGAAAATAAAACCAGAAAAACAACAATAAAAAAACAAAAGATTGAGAGAATATACCCTTTCTCAAAGGTCTGTAAGGTAATCCACCCCAAAACAATCTCTTCACAAGACCAAATTCTATTCAACTCATTCAATTTACAATGAAGGGAGATTTCCCTTTAAATAGACTAAAAAGAAGATAAACAATAACTAAGCAAAAAAAAACCTCTCTACACACGGACTTTTTCTACTTTATCTCTTCTCCTTATTTTCTCTCTCTTAACTTCACGTGCCAAAGATTTGCATCTAAAATAAGTAGCTCACGTTTTACTCAAAGCCTTCCAAAGTTGGTTATTGCACTCCCTATTCTTAACAAAATAAAAAAAAAAATTAAAATAACCCTAATAATCTAAACTAACATAATTCTTAAAAATCCCTAAAATATAACCCTTAATTAAATTACATAAAAAAAATCCAAATTAGGTCATTCCATGACTGCATCACTATCTCTCTCAGTTGTACTGACATTTGCATTTTGTGGCATGTGCTCTGCTGCCTGTAGATAATAAGGCCAGACATATGCAGCAAAGAAGTGATTACAGTAGGTTGCAGGCACAGCAACCTCAAATTCGGAGTTACAGTTTTCAAAGCTCCAAAGTGACATATGGTGGTGTTAATGGGGCATATTATACTTCCTCCACATCCAGAAGAACTGGCAGTGATGGGGTAAGTCTCGTATGAAACCTACATATTTCACTTTCATTATATGCAGGGGTGAGATCCTTGCTTAAAGATCTTGAGATTGATGAATGGTAGCATAAGTTGGTGTTGGTTATTGACTCTTGTAGTTGTTTTATTTGTTTGACATGGTACATAGGTGACTGAGGAGGAGCATAGGAAGGCTGATACAACCACTGGTAAAGCAACTCATAGGGTCTCTAAAGGGTTAAAAGGCAAGGTGAGATTTTAGGGTTACTTACACTATTAGTATTTTGCAGATTGGGTTCCTCACTTTTATTTATTTGTTTCTTTTATATACATTTGTCAATAATTTCCACTGTTTCTTTCCTCTGCAGAGACTTCGCAAAGGAAATGTTTAGCAGTGCTTTTCATTTTTTCTGTTTATTATATGATCCAATGGATAAGACTCTTGAATAGGGCTCAGTCCGTCCAATACCTTAACTTTTGGGCTTTTAAAGCTATTTATGGTGGTGCATAGAGTTGTGTTTTTTAATATGGTCACAATTTTCATCAAGTTTAGAGATGAAATGTATCTGTTGTTGCTTTGCAGGGCCATTCGGTTACAAGGAAGCTCAAGTCTGATGGGAATGTTGATACTATGCAGATGTTGCACAACCTGAATGAAGGTAGGCTATCTTTGTTGATTTGGTTTGCATTATTTGTCTGTTTATATGATTAAACACCCAAAGCAGCAGGTTTGATGAATCTATTTTTTGCGGTAAATACCTTAAGCAACAGGCTAGCATACAAATTCAACATAAATGTGCAGGCTAACATCCAAAATTCAAAATGAATGTGGATTTTCTTTCACTTGTTAGCTTCTGTGACTCAGTCATGTTGGTCATAAGGATCTTAAAGTACGAGTTCCTTTCTCTTTGGCTAGCACTATTATACTTATTATTATTATTTTTTATGACTTCTAATCTCTCATCCATATATATATATATATATATATATATATATATATATATATATAAAATCAATAGTATGTCTTCCTCATCTCTGTTGACATGTAGATTTCCAAGCGTTATTCCCAATCTATTTCTCACAGGGCGCCAATCGTTTCAAGAATGATCATATGCCTTAGTTCTGGCATAAAACCTTTCAATATTGCTGTGTTATTAAAACGTCCAAGAATTAGGGAAATAGGACCCAAATTAATTTTGTAAGTGCTTTCTGCTGTATTCGGTCCAAGTCCACTTCATCAATATTCCGTTTTTGTGCCTCTGCTACTTAACTCTCCTTCCTTCCATCTGTTTTTCTGCATTATTGTGGAAAAAGCGTGTTAAGTTGTTAATGGTGGTGCAGATGAGCTAGCTGACTTTGAAGAGGAGTGGAAGGGGAGCGCTAGGAAGCATTTGCCTGGTTGGAAGGAGGGGCCAGGGGTGCTTGGCAGTGGGCAACAAAATATGGGTACGTACCTCTCGTAATTATGTTCTAGATATTGTAACTTACAATTTTCAAGTGGCTTCCTTGGAAGGGGGGATAAACTCTTGGACTTCTGCAAGAACCGAAAATTCGAGTGATGGCTTGTGAACTTGTAATGTAGGACTGGAGGGAGAGGCCAATAAGACTATAGGTGTGAGGATACATTAGAATGCTACTTTCTTTTTTTGTGTGCGAGCGCGCCTACTTGGCTGGTTGGATTTACATGCTTGGAACCCAATAACTTTTTGCCCCTATTGCCTTTTTTCTTTTTTTTTTCCCCATGTGCAAGTACTGAGATTTGACTGATCGGTTATGAGCCTGTAGATATTGCTCAAAAGTGAGAATTCATTTGAGAATTTCGTGTTCACTTATGTGCATCGCTCGTGTCTTTGTATTTTGCAGGTGTGAGACAGGGTTATGCGCTTCCTTCGATAGAGCGGAGAAAATCGAAGGATCAGGCTCATGGGGCCAGAGGCGCCGGACCATCTGAGAGATTCTAACCAAGTATACCTCTCTTGCGTGTCAAAAATCTTGGAAGCGAGACTCAGAACAGCTTGGTTTTCTAGTCAATATATGGACTAGGTAAAACACAAAGCACCATATTGACGGTCATCCAAATAGAGATCATTACACATGAGCGGTAGTGATTTGTCACTGGTTGCACCGGTAGTGTCCCCTACATCGAATCTTAGTCTATAAAGTATAAGAGAACTTAGTGGTATAATATGGTGGATATGGATATGAGGTCGGTAAGAGTGATTTTTAAACTATTGCTACATGTTTGGATGGTATGAGGCCTCTTGTTTCCTTCCTGTGCCTTTGTTATGAAATGTTGTTTTGAATTTCTCTAGTAATCGGCTTGTTTTCATTTGTTTTTTGGGGGGCAAGTGGGCACTTTGCATCGTAGGTATTCAAAATAAGAATGCGAAAAGGTGATTTGGCATTGGGCTTTATCCTTGAAAGCTGCATTGTGTTTCAAAACCCAGATACGAAAGGTGTGGACTTTCTTACTTACCTGTAGATCTGTTTTGATCGCCAATACTAAAAATACGAGGGATCTATGGTGGATTGCGGTACTTGAAAAAAAAATATGAAGGCAGCAATTGAAGAAATAGGCCAAAACCTGAATTTTAGATTTCTGAAAGTTGTTTTGGAGACGTCTGTCTTTACTGTAGCACTTCCCTGTTTTGATTGTGGGACTTTTTAATGTTATTAAAAAGTAGATAACGCAAGTTCCCGCGAGTTCCATGGGTGACTATGTAATTTGCAATATTGGAAGGTGTGGTTTCCAAAATTTTGTTTTGTATGAAGTAAAATTGTTTGATGCCGATTATCTAAATTGCAGAATTGGAAGGAGTGGTTGCCCAAACTTTGTTTTTATAAAATAAAATTCTTTGTTGCGGGCTGGACTGCATTTCTACAATGTGGTCTCAAGGTATAGATCATACGATACTAATTGGAGGACGATCTAAAAGAAATCAGAACTAACCGCTCAAATGTATTTTTAATAGAATTATTATTTCTGATTTTTTAAATTAATTTATTTTTTATATTCATGATCTCCAAGTAAGATTAATCTATCTCAAAAATTGATTTTTAAGAGGTGACTCAATCTACATCCGGCCCAAAGAACCGTGTCCTTCCACGAAATACACAAGAGAGTTCTACATCCGGCCCAAAGAACCGTGTCCTTCCACGAAATACACAAGAGAGTCGACAAATCCTTTGTGAGCCTTATGAGGTTCTATATGATGAGGGTACGGTCTGTGGTCTTTTTGCGTGACAAAACAGGATGTCTAACGCACTTGTCTTATACCTTTTAGATCTAAACACTTACAAACATGTTTTAAATATTCAGCTAGGTGGCGCTCCATTTCACTCGATATCCCACTTCTGCTTCATATCATTTGGAGGCCCACTTCTTCCCTCTTGAAATTTTCACATGAAGGAGCTCAGACATAAAATCCCTCTTCTTCCTTGCACACTCTTTTCTTGAAATTTCTCCTTAAAGGAGTTCAATTTCATCATTTTTTTCATTACAGGGTCTCCTTAAAGGGGTTCAATTTCACCGAATATAGGCCAAGTCATTCTTTCATTACGGGGTGTGGTTTGCATAGGGCTGAAGCCCCAAATAATCAAAGTGAGACGCACTTTTAAATTGTGTTGAAATATGCTTTTTAGTACTGTAAATTTTTGTGATGGTTAAAAGTCTTGTTTTCATATCAAATTATATACTTAAAAAAATATGTGAATCGAGTAGTTCTATGAACACTTGAAAAATATTGAAAATTGACGGTCCAAAAATACTATAAGATGGATTATTTCTAAGACTTGAAATCTATTTTTTCATGACCATACATCTTGAGTTTGAGATAATTGATTTGAGGATTTTTGAAATTTCTTTGTTTTTTTGAACGGTGATGTATGGAAATACTGTAGTAGATTTTTGAGGTGTGCTTTAATTTAATTGTTTAACGCCTCACTCTCTCATATAAACTTTTTCCTTCATTAAATGGTATTCATGCTTTTGATGTCCTCGATCAGTCAGTTTTGATCTTAGATTTTTTGGCACGATATTTCTATCCCACAGGATGAGAGAGAGACGGAGAAATCGGCAAAGGCAGCAAAAAAGATGCGAGCACATATACCATGCTCCCTGAGGGGCACAGTTCTACTGCCTTAGCTCGAAGAGAAACTTGGGAGGATTCTTTTCAAAATTTGGGAATTACTTAAGAATTATCATATGATTATCCTTTCTTTCTCTTTCTTTCTTTCTTTCTTTCATTTTTTTTTTTTTTTTTTTTGAGATTTGAGTTTTCTGATATGTAGATCCCATCATCTAAAAATTGGATGGTCGTTATTCAGTCTCAAAGGCATTATTTCAAGTATATAGAGGATAGAATTAAGAAGTTTATTGGGGTTAATCTATAGGATGCAAAGGCTACACCCCCAAATTTGAGATTCTAAATTTAATTGGGATTTATTCGAGGGAGTAAATAAACATTCTACTCCCTCTGGAGTGAATATTTTTTGGCAAAAAATGCAATACGCCCAACCTGGGGTGCACAAAAATGCGCTGGAATAAATGTTGTCCCTACAACGGACCTGAGACACAAGAAAACAATATCTCAATAGGTCGCATATTTTATGCTCTCATAGGAGCATAGTGTACATCTGCTCCCTCGATTATAATACCCACTTTGGACATATTTTTCAATATGAGATTTTGGAAAGCACTTAAAAATTACATGATGATTATTTTTTTGAAAAAAATTGAAATTTGAGTTTTTAACACGTCGAACTCACTCTAAGATTTGGATGGTTTGTGTTTGATCTTGAGAAAGTATAGGGAGAGCAATTAGGGTTTTTTGGTGTGTGCACATGTGTGTGTTGGGATTAACCTATGGCTTGAGTAGGTACATCCCCAAAATTTGGGGTCTTAAAATTAACCTTAGATTGGATTTTAACCGAGGGAGTAGGAAGTAAATGGATAGTATACTTCAGCGGGATTATAAAATATTTTGGCCTATTTCAAATTAGAAAATTGTCTCAAGGACGTTTTTTTTCTTTTTCGTTTTATGTTCCATATCTACAGCTAACACCACTTTACTAATACTTTCAAAAAATTTTCAAAAATCTAACTCCTAATCTACTTAAAAAAAGGGGTAGGGGATAGTCTTCCCCCGTTGAATTATCCAATAATAATAATAATAACATTTTGGGATTTACCCAAAAAGAAAATAACATTTTGGTAAGATAAAAATACGAAAAGGAAAACGGATTGTCTTTTACACGCAGTGGGTTCAAATCATACACTCAAAAGATACTAATGACACGTTTGGTGCACATGAAAATACTTTTATAAAATAATTTCATGTGAAAAAACTCCCTTATGTAATTAAATATGGGATTTTCCCACACCAATTGGTTGTCAATTAGTGTGAAATAATGCGTTGGGACTAATTGGTGTGAAAAAAAAAACTCTCATATCTAATCACATGAGTTTTTTTAATGTAAGAATACTTTCACGAAAATGTTTTCATGCGTACCAAATGTACCCTAAAAATAGAGTTCTCTAATGGATAGTATACTTCCTAAAGCTGAAAAAAAGGGTGTAGTTTGTATAATGTTGCAACTTTAAACAATCAAAATAAGGTGCACCACCAAATTTTATTATTTGGTACAATTTTGGTGTCGAAAATTCTTAAAGATGGCTTGAGAATACATTTTCGTCACTAATTATAAAATCTTGGACCCCGAAATGGTTCAAATCAAATAAATATGTGAATACATGAAAATCTTGAAAATAGACGGTCTAGTTAATGTATCGTAAGATGAACCATTTTTGGGACTCAAACTCTTTTTTTCTTTTTTCATATTCATACATCTCAATGTCGAGACGATCAATTAGAGGGTTTTCCAATATCAAAACAACCTTTCACCATGGATTTCTTAGATGCACATTAATTCTACATTTTAAAGTTAAAGCCTTATATAAATTTTTTTAAGGAAAAATAATATTCCATCAAGGGGAAAATATCTTAAGGAGAAGTATATGGAACATTATTTAGTTAAGTAAGTGAAGGTTAGTGACCCTTAATCTCAATCGGGATTGTAGGCAATGAGACCATTTACCTTTTGTATAGGGAGGTCACAATTACATACAACCATCCGATGTGAAATCTGATAGCTTGGTTGTGTCACAAAGTTCAATAAAATTTCTTTTAAACTTTGAGCTTGGTCAATAAAATAAATGCAACCACCCAATTTCACATCCAATAGTCAAGATTAATTGTGACCTGTACCAAAGGTAAACGGTCTTGTTATATACTTTCTCATCTCATAATATGCCTTGAATCATTCCATTTTCCATGTTCCTCTCTCTTTGTAATCCTCGTCTTTCTCTATATCTTGAATATTAAGGGGTTGTTTGGATATATGTATTTCTACTACAGGAAATAGATTACGAGAAAATATACCATTTCCAAAGTTTGGGTACAACATAGTGAGCAGAAAATAGAACACATTACCTAAAGTTTGCTCCAAAATCACGAATTCTATTACCCACCCCAATGGGTAAAAAGTGTATTACAAAGAAAGACGGCTAATATCTACTCAATGGACCCACTAGAAAATATTAACTATGATTTATAAATTTGAAGTCCCCCTTATCATCCACCTCTCTCTCATTGAAAAACTTTTTTCCTTGTGTCGGCTTCGCACTAGTAAGATCAGCCTTTCATCCCTCAACTTGGCATCTTGGTGATTTTCCTTTTTGGCTTGAAACCTTAGTTTTTTGAATAAAACTACTCGAATTTTCATTTTCCAGTGGTTTCTTAACAGAATTTTCAAAACCCACATCTTCAAAGTATATCATCTTTTTGAGCTTTAGCCCATTCATTGTCGTACACTCCATTTCTCTTTCTCTCTAAGACTGTCTCTGTCTCTCTCTAACCCATTTGGGTACTAGTTCAAATGAACTTTTGGGATTCTCAGGGACCAAGACGAACTAAAGTTAAAGAAAACAGCTTCATTAAGGAAGGCTATTCCGAGGAACATACCACAACCAAATACAGGTCATAAGACAGCATAAATATCTGGAGCTTATCTCAAACTCCTCGGGGGACCAATGTATAGAATTACAATATTGACCCAGTTTGAGTTCACCAACTCTAACATGCAATTAAAAAGTTTCATGTGTAGTCAAGAGTACAGAGTTCCCAACATATTTAATGTGATGACTTTTGGGATTTAATAGCTGATAATGGTTGAAAGCCAGGGCAGCCCACACACATAGCTCCCATCCATGTCTCTCTAAAACTCTCTCTTGGGGACTCTCTAAAACTGTCTTTCT